ATATATATATAACTTTGCTATTCATATATTTTCAGAAAAGCCTGATGTCTCAAACATTTAAGAGGAAAATGGGAAAAAATAACTGTGTACTGCAGTGTTGATACCATTAGCAGCGGCGGCGTGTATGTAAAAACTAGATATCTGTAGCTCTAAAACTAATAAACTGCTTCATTTTCTAGCCAAAAATGAGTATCTTTGCTGTTGAAAGCGATAACTATGAAAACATCAAGAAGCATATAAACGAGATAGAAATTTCCGGGGAAAGACAATTATCATCATGACAAATTACTGCCATTGCTTACAGTTACTTTTCCTGTTTTTGGAAACTATCACTCCGTCACTGAAGTCCCAAAGCCTATTTTTCGGACTGCTACTTATCAACCTCTGTTTGTTTGCTTTTCTTCATTTACTCTAAAGCAGTATATTTTTTTTTGTCTGTTACACTTCTTCGCCTAACCAGCTGCCGTCTTCCTGAACTTTTTCCTTCTTATTCTTCATACTGTACCTGTTCCTCTTCTTTTTTTTTTTTAACTTTGCTGTACCAACGAACCAGTCCGTTTTTAAGTGTCTTTCAGTGAATTCTGCAATACTGCGGTTTCTGTGATTTGGATTCCAAAACCCGTTTCATTAGCATCCATACGACGCAGGCTAGGATGTCCATTAAAACATCCGTTTGGATGTTTTGACCAAGTTCGGTTGCAAGTACCGTAGCACTGCTCAGTCGTTGAGTGCAACGAGTAAGTGGTACCTGACAGTTGTATGGATTTCGGGTAATATTTCACTTTGTCGCCTTCGCACTTTTGAATAAAAGAATATCAGGGGTTGAAACAAGTTCTAGACAACGCTTGAACTTGGTGTTGATAGAAAGAAGTACAAGGCAACTAGCGAAGAAGAAGTAGCATCAGAAATACCGTAGTAAAGCATTTTGGATGGTTACTAGATAGCCGTAATTAGTATAAGACTGCATTGAAAATTTGCCAAAATTGCACAACTTTCGTTTCGTATGCAGTATCAAATTGATCAATTTTGAAACAATTTTGATTCCGCAACCCGTTTCAGTAACAGATAGCGAAGGAATAGGAGCGCGAGTACGCTACTGTTTTTCACTATCGTCTTACATCCATTGTGCAGCTCGTAATCATCGGTTTCTCGCTTGAGGCGACAGCTGTGATTGGCAAAATTCCACTGCACTGAGGTCGTCCATCTGAATTTCTTCGTTAATGTGGACAACACTATTGTATGCGGCTATTCGATAATTTTTTTCAATAAAGGACAAGAATGGAGCTGTTGCGAGTATTATCAAATGTCGTTGGTTCCTGTGTACTACTTTGTTCTGGGCCCTATGATAACCGGAATCTGTCATGTCTCGGGTTGAACTGGATCCCGAATGATCGTGAAGAAATTGGGGGTTTTTTTTTTTGCATAGACGACAGTGTCCACTGTCTATCATAAATAGCAAACTTTTTTTTCAAATTCTTGATTTGACTGTCTATCTGTAATTGCTCGACGGTTTAAGGTTTACTTGATGTGTTAGTAAACAGATATGGTATGAAGCATTAAAGAAATTGAACCGAATTGATTAGTAGGGACTAATGCGAAGCGCATAAAAAAGAACTTAGGTGAACCAGAAGAATTTGAAATAGACTGTGTCACTGTAATAAAAAATTTTTCCACCAAAATTTTTATGATATCAAATTTAAGAAAAGAATTCTTAAACTATTTTTATATACACAATATTTGTTGTTACGATCGTTGCAGATATCATAGACGGTAAAGCCTACGGTCATTAGGAATGACATTTTAAGTAATAAGCTCTTTCTGTCAAGAACCTGTAACGGAGAAGTAATGTGAATTCACTTTTTTGTGGACTCTGATTTTTTCAAAATGAGTCAGTGTTGTTGGGTTTGGTCAGCTGTTTTGATGTTAAAATAATCTACGTTTTGTGAGTCATGGATTTTTTGCGCAAATTTTTCATCATCTTTCAATTTAAGGGTTGGATGCTGCATTCTTCGGAAACAAAATCGGAAGTTACGTCACCTAAAAGACTTTCTGGATTCATCTGCAAGGTTCTTAAGTTTTTTTTAGTTATGTTGATTAATTAACTTCTTTGCATGTTTAATTAAAGACTGTTTGAGTGCTTGTAGCTAAACATTTGTTATGGAGTTTCCTATATATGGTATGAAGCATTCTTCGGAAGCAAAATGTGGTTTATTGAGAGTTTTGTTTATAGTGTCAAAGCCCACTATTCCTTTCGTTAGACCTTGTTGTCATCTCTCTAAACATTTTATTAGTTAGACTTCCATCAGGACCTGTCTCTAATCCAGGGTTTTAGTTAGAACAACGTGCTATAGGAGGTTATGCTAAGCGAAGGTACTGGTTCGCTCTGTCTGATGATTCCCCCTATCTCTACTGGTATAAAAACAAAGGTGATATAAAGTGTGCCGGTCGAGTTTCTTTGTCAGGCGCTGCGTTCACCTTTGATCCTCGGCAAACGGGCCGATTTGAAATTCAGTTGGTTTTTTATCATTCAAAAATTAGGACATATCGTCTCATATTTGAAATTGGTATTTGTTTGAAAAGGATGAATCAGGGGACTTTTGTTTGATTCCTTGTAATTACTACTGGAACGGTTAAGTTGTTGAAGATGTAAGAGAAAGTGATTTTAAGAATAAAAGTTATAGTAAGATATTTTATATTAATTTTTTTTTATTTGTGTTTTTACTGACGTATTTTAGTGTTAACGATGAAATTCACTTATTGGAGACAGGAGATAATAAGTCTCGTTTGCAGTGGCTTCAACAGCTTCAGAGGAATAGGAGACTGCATTTTGAACGAGAAAATGTTGATGATATTTTAAAAGTGGTACTGCCAAATAGTTGCATTATGTTTTCATGCTCGTGCTTTTGGAATTTTATAATCTGCGCAGGCGATTTTTCTTTACTAAACATATTCAGGAGATAGTCTCGTTATCTTCACGTTGTTCTTCGTTTAATGAGCAAAGCAGCAGTCCACCGGATGAAGATGGACTACAGAGTGCTGATAAAGCTGAGGACGTAGGTGTGTCAAATAATACTGAGGTGGCAGCTCCTGCGGCTGTAGAAGAAAAATGTTTGGAGGAGGAGTTGTTGGAAGCCGTTAGTTAATTCACTCACTTTTTAAAAATTCAGAACTTAATATGTTCTTTTTTACTTTTTTGATAGTTGGTGTCCTTGTTGAATTGACATTTCAAGATCTGGTTTCTTAAAAAGTTTCAGACGCAATCAACGTTTTATTTGAATTCTGATGGCGAACTAAACGCCCGAAGTCTTCAAATGCCTTCCCCTATTCCGCCGAGCACGGAGTTGTTGCGGAGCGCCGAGGATTTGGTAAGCAAAATAGAATTCCATGCAAAAACGAAAGTCGAACGGCCTGCGAAGCATGTGATTGAAAAAGCCAAAGCATCTTTCAGGTTTTTTGATTACTATCTGTTTTTTCCTCTCTTCGTTCTCCTTTTAATAGACGAAACTTTTAATATGGACTGCTTAACTTTGTAATAGACCAATTTTTTCACATGAAGACTTTTTGTTAAAGCTGTTGCCTTTTGTCTCAGTTAGCTAGTGATGATTTGAATTATTTTTTGTTGCTAAAACTTTGAAGCGTAAAGAATTACAGAGCAAAATGAACTGTTTCAGGCTTTTTGTAAGACTTGAAACAGTTTTTTTTTCCAAAAATAGTTGCTGTTAACCCCTAAATTACTTTTTTTTAGGCTGCCGTCTTTTTCGGCTGGGTCATCTGCGCGTGCAGCTTGTGAACAGTGTAAGATTGTAAGTTAAAGTGAGAGGACCTTGTTATTTTGGTATGGTTCCTTTGATTGCTTTTTTTTGGTTCTGATTTCTTTTTTCAGTTGCTAGGGATTGTAAATGAGTTGAAGGATCGTTGTTACGAGCTAACCGATGAAGTAGGTGCAAATCAGGATTTGGTCAGCGCCTTACGACAAGCTCTTATAAAAGCTAACCGCCAGATCGAAACATTGTAAGTGCAGTTTTAAATTTTTTTCCAAGTCTTTGTTACTCTTATTCCTCAGGAGAATCGGGAGTAAAAATGTTGAGGAATTCAAGACTAAAGAAACAAAGATTGTTATTTGGTGACAAAGCATATTTGGGCTTCAGGAAAAGTCTGGCTTCAAGTAGGACCGTTGATGATAGAGTTGATTTCATTTTAAATCGGGAAAGTGAGATTGCGACGTTACAAATGAACGAGGCTAAGAATCTGGGAGAGATCCAGTCATTAAAAGAAACCATCAAGTATTGCTGCTTGTATTTTAAGATTTTTCAGAATAAAGAGTTACTGAAAAGGCCAATAGTAATGAATTGATCTTTTACTTTTGTTTTTTTTTTTCTGCTTCTTTCTTATGTTTAGATATGTATTTTCTTGGAAATGCTTGTGCAGCAGTTTTTGTCTGTATGAAATATGGTTTTGATGTAAACCATTCTTGGCATTTTGTTCTAGAGAATTGGAGCAAAGGAACTCAGAGCTGAATTCTGTAGTTGAAGCTTTCCGGGATTCGGTCCGTACCAAAGAAGAACTAATAATTAAGTTATATGGAGAACAGGAGGGTATGGCTAGTGCTGGGAAGCCAGTGTCGATCGTGGATGATAGTAAGGCCTTCATCTAAATTGAATGTTGTAGAGTCGTACATAGTTTTTTTTATAATTTTTCTTTTAGTCGAAGTTCCCGAAGGTATATTAGTTGATTTTGGGAATAATTCTACCGATGAAGATGCGCAGAAAGTGTTTGACGAGGCAGTTGTGAATGACGTAACTGAAATGAGGGACCTTGTTGACGGTTATCGAAGCCAGAATATGTTCTTGAATCAGGAAGTTTTAGGTTTGTAAAGGAGTAAGATAACTGGTATTGTAGATGACATTAGAACGTTTGGCAATATTCAGCTGACTGTTTCTGTAGAAATTGATATAATTCGTTTTAAAATTTCACTGTGGACATCTTCAGAGTTGCAAAAAATCGTTCGGTCTTTGGAGGAACGTGAACGTCGTCTTATTAGGCAGAATTTCGATATTGGAGCTTGCTACTATCAGTTAAAAAGTCGTTATATTATGGTACTCAATCATTTCAAGGGTGAAAATCAGCCAAATAGCAAAGGTCCTAATGTTTAGCAAATCTTCCTTTTTTGTTTTTTGAGATTTATTCAAGGAATTAATTGATTTCCCTGTTGCCCGCAATGCACTTGGGGTTTTGTGTACGAATACTTTAGTGTCATTTTTAGTACTTGAGCCCAGCGTTATAGAAGAGCTGATTGAAGAAACTAATTGGATGCAAAATCGTCGGACTTGGAACAGTGATAAACCGGAAAGTAAGGGTTTTTATACATATTTATTGAATTGATCCTTTTTCAATTTTTTCTCTTAAAAAATTTTTTTTAGCTAGTTTGACTAACTCCCTGGGTTTTTATTTAAATTCTGATGCTAAGCATCATCGCTTACAATCGGTGGATATGCTTGATGTTGCAGCTGAGTTAAAGAATAAAAGTGAGGAAATTGTTGGCAGACAGGAATTGGTAAGAGGCGTAATATGGTAGATTAATATCTTTTAGAGTGTTTTTATTTCATATTTGGAACTCACTTTTTCTTAATTTTTTTTACTTTATCCCTGCTTTTATTTTTTTGTATTGTGCTTCGATGCCGAAGATAAAGTTATGTTGTGTGTACTTATCTCATTTTCAGGAGCAAAGCCCACAATACATTGGCTGGTTGCAACGGTGGGACAGTTTTTTAGTAAATTATGTTACAAGGCCGCTGAAGCCAAGTGCTGATCTAAAAGAGCTAATCAGAACTGGAGTTCCACAGACCTACAGGAGGAGAGTTTGGAAAAGGTGCTACTAGTTTTCTTAAACTTGTCCTTGTATTTTTGTCCGAACGGGAGCGAAATTTTGAAAACTTTAGTCTAGTCACCCATCTTGTTGCTGATCAACAGGCGGATCTTGGTAACGGGTATTACCAAAGCTTACTCCGTAAATACAAGACGCAGAGCCAGAGTGGAACTCATGATAAAATAATAAACCAAGTATGTTTCTACTCACGCGTCGGTATTTACAGTAACATTTGTTCTAGATATTGTCATCTAGATTGATTTGGACCTTGTTCGGACGCTTCCCGACAACAAGTATTTTGACGACCCAAACTCGCCAAAAATTACTTCGTTGAGGAAAGTTCTTTATGCGTACCGTTTTCACAATAGAGCAGTTGGATACTGCCAGGCAATTTCTTTGTTTTGATAGAGTTTAGTTGAAGTTTTATTTTTGTGCTTCTCATTTGTTAAAAAGCCGTCTTCTAATCTGTAATACCCTTTCTTGCGGGCAGTTGTTTTATAATGTCTTTTTTTTGGATTCTTAAAACGTGACATTTTTATTTTAGGGTATGAACCGGTTAGCAGCCATTGCACTTCTTTTTCTAGATGAATCAGACGCATTTTGGTTTTTAGTCGCATGCGTGGAGCACCTTCAGCCAAGTGAGTATTACACGCCAACACTTGTTGGTGCAGTGGCAGATCAGAAGGTTCATTACCTTTTTTTGTTTAATTCAAGGTTGCTTCTCAAGAAGCATAGCTTTATGCCGGAGTGTTTATAAATTAAGTGAGTATTATGCATATAGTCTCTGTTGGGATTTGTAGTGTTTTTAGGTTTTGAGAGATCTTGTTGGTGAGAAGTTGCCAAGACTGTCGCAACATTTGAAGAGATTAGATGTTGACCTTCCAGCATTCACACTTAGCTGGTTCCTTACCTGTTTCGTTGATACTTTCCCTCACAGCATTTATTTGCGAATTTTCGATGTGTTTCTTTATGAGGGGAATAAGGTATTGTTTGTAAAGAGCAATTTTGAAAATGTTTGCTAGTCATTTTTTTTTCTAAATTAGTGAGGTAAATGTATTTCTGCGTCTAAAATGGGCATTTACAGGTTTTGTTTCGTTTCGCACTTGCTCTACTAAAGTTGGCAGAGGCATCTGTTTTAGAATGTAAAACTGTTGGAGGCGTTCAGAACATTCTGAGTAAAGTGTCCCAGAATGTTTCCGATTACAAAATTTTAGCACATGTAAAGAGTTTTTCTAAACTTTATTCTTTAATGCTTTTCAGTTTTCTTGCATTTTTTATTACTTTTTTTCCAAACGTATCGTTTTTTTTATGAGTATTATGGCACTCGTTATTTCAGGTTGCTTTTGCGGAGTTAAATCCCTTTCCAATGAAGGGGATTGATACTAAGCGGCAGTTTTATCGCGCACAGCTCAGGGCGCCTTAGTATCAGCACTGTTACCAAAAAATTTAATTCAGCAGTAGCTACTTCGTATAATTGATCTTGTTTGTTAAAGTTTATCGGAAATTCATGCTCTAGTATGGTTGCGTAGATTGCTATAGGTTACCTCCGTCCTGCATGTTGAGCGTTGTTTATTTTTAACCTTTACATTTCATAGTTCGGTTTGAGGCATTTTGTGCTGTTTGTGAGCACAGTAATCTTATTTTGTGAATGTCACTATAGTTTTGCTTTATTGTAAGTTTCAACAACTTTAGGCAGTGTTGTAATGTTTCTCTTTGTTTTTTCTTGATGTGTCTGGAAGTTCGGAGATGCAGGCAGCTGCAAAGAAGGGCGTAATTAGTTCGAATTACATGCTTTTGATACTTGCCTTTATTTCGGCTCTTCCAATAATGTGCGGAAGTAGAACAGATGTCTTGCACCTTTCTTTTTGTACATAGTCTTATTTAAACGGTCATTGAAGTTCGATTTTTGAAATATAATTACAATGTCCATATCGTATGTCGCTAAGTTTTTTTTGTTTCTTTGCGTTTCGCCAAACATCTTTATCTGTGTTGTCTTTATGCTTTATTTGAGATTCTTGTATTAGTATTATTAGTTTTTTATTGTTTCTGTTGCTCACGAAGTTAGTGAATTTGGTTGTGATCTGATATTACATTTCTGGCATGTTGAGTACCTATTGGTTTTGTATTACTGTCGTAGTTTTATTAATGCTAAATTTATTCCTTCTTATTGATTAGTACGTGTAATGATTGAAATATGCTTATACGTTGTGAATAGTTCTTGAACTGGTCTTGTGATTGAGAATCTTCCAATTACATTTAGATGATCTGCATTTTGCATAAATAAACTATTGGTCGCTACTTCTAAAGTATTTGTATACAATTAGTTTCTTTTTAAAATTTTTTTGGACATATCGGTAGCTATAACTTGTTTATTTTTAATACTGTAATTGAGTACTTAGCTGTTTAAATGTACTACTGAATCACTTTGAGAGGGTTTTTACTTTTGGAACACAGGTTTTGCTCGGGAA